ACTCATAATATATATTATTCTAACTCATAATATATATTATTCTAACTCATAAAATTTAACGACGTTATTTTGGACCGTGGTTCACAGAGCTGTGTGGACTGTAATTTTGCCGAAAGAATCATGCAGTATAATAATCCGGAATTAATTAGTAAATATTTTATTTGGTTCATTAAGCTCGATGTAAGTAAGTTCAATCCATAGGCCAATAATCTTGCTTAGCGTTATCATGTCTTCATGTGAATGAACAAGAATGCTAATCAAATTTGTTTTTTACTAATTAACCATTTTCACATGCCAACAAATATTTACAGTCCACATATATAACGACTACCGATAGAGACATTTAACGTTGAAAATTCAACAAAATAATCCTCTAGATGAATTTGGATTTTGCAATTTGTAATAATTCTTGGTGGATTAATCTGTACTCCTTATCTATCAAGTTTCGTTGATTTTTAACTTTAAATTCAGTAATGTTTGGTTCATAAAATTAATTAGAAATACAAATATATATATATATATATATATATATATATATATATATATATATATATATAATAGTGTGTCTTTCGCAAAAAATAACCGTACTTCAAAATTAAGTTCATTTTGTATTGCACAACTATTATGGAGAATAAAACTTTTTATGGGAAAATGTTATTTTACCTTCCTGATTTTTATTATATTTCCAAAATTTCCTCTCATTAGATGGCTTTCATTCATTCGGTGTAAATAAATTGATTGATTTCACCATTAATTTAAAAAGAGCAAATACCAATTTTGATCCTACAAGTATTAGCCAAATGATAGTTTGGATTCACATGTTTAATTTCTACCAATTTTCATCCACAACTATTGTTTTAGTGCCAAAATTCATCATGTCGATCACACATCCGTTTAAGACATGTCAAAATATGAAATTATTAAGGATATTTTTGTCTTTTTCAAATTAAGATTTCAATTTAAACATGAATAAATGGATTTAAGTCGTAATATCGATCCCAATTTGCAATTCTCCTCCTCAAATTAAGGTAGGATGAGAAGGAGAACTGCGAATTGGGACCGATCTTAGGGCTTAAATTCCTTTATTCATGCTCGAATTGAAATCTTAAGTTGAAAAAGACGAAAATATTCTTCAAAGTTTTTAATTTCGACATGTCTTAAACGGAGCAGCTACCAACGAGATGAATTTTGGCACTAAAATAATAGTTGTGGATGAAATTTTGTATTAAAACAATAGTCGTGGATAAAAGTTGGTAGAAATTAAACATGTGGATCAAAACTATCATTTTGTTAATACTCGTGGGACTAAAATTCGTATTTGCTCAATTTAAAAATAAATGTAGCTACTAATCAGATGATGACATCTTAGGATGGAAATTGGAAAGTTTTTTGAAAAATACATAACGGATTTTTGTAACATTGCTCTTCTTTATATATTTGTTATTTCAAACTTTAACCGTTAACTGAAGTTTTGAAATTCATTTAACCATTAAACGAACTGAAAAAGTTCGATTAAAAAATGGTTAATCAAACTTTGTCGGTTTGGTTGGTTAACCAAAAATTCTCCTGGTCGATTAACAAAAAATTCTCCGAAGTTTGCACACCCCTAAGATGGGAAGGCAATAGCTAGAGTGTGGAACTCAAAACGTTAATTAAGATATTACCAGTAATTTTATTTTCGTAGGAGGTGGTCCGTCGTCCCCTCCTCTCACGTGTGAAGAGGTGGTCTGTTCCCTCTATTGCAATAAATTACGTAAAATTCCCGTTCCTGACTAATTTTTACTCGTTTATAAAGGGGAGAGGGCTTACCCGGCCCCTCAATCGTACCCTAAGGGGGCACGAGATCCGACCTCGCGTACCAACCCCGACGAAAGAGCCCAAGCGCCTAGTCTCAAACGACTCAGGTGGAGCGACTATTGCACACTAAAGGGGCACGAGGTCCGACCTCGCATACCAACCCCGACGGAAGAGCCTAGTCTCAAACAACTCAGGTGGAGCAACTATCACACCCTAAGGGGCACGAGGTCTGACCTCGCGTACCAATCCCGACGGAGAGTTTTGGCTTGAGGACGCACTTGGCCAAACGCAAAAAAAAAAAAAAAAAAAAAAAAAAAAAAAAAAAAAAAGGCGCCCGGCTTTGAGCCGAGGCCAAGGTCGGCAAGGCCTCGACAGAGAGAGGTGAGCTGGGGCAGCGGTGGACCTCAGCTCAAGAGGTCAGTCAGGGGTCAGCAGAGGACCCTGACTTACGATGCCATTACCGACCTCCACCGCCGCACCAGTATCTTGATGGGGCATCAGCGAAAGGACTGCAGGGTCTATTACTCAAATCACAAAACATGTGAAGGAAAAGTCCATTATTAACATCATAGCAAAACGCGACGCAAAAGTTGTCATCCAACTATGACATAAGCGACGAAAAAAGGGCAGGAATAAATATCCCAAGTCTATGCTCGAAAACATAAAAACATAGAAACAAGCAAAGATAAATAAGACCAAGTCTACTCGTTCAGGTCCGGCGCAGCGACAGGTTACAGCTGTAACACCCCATATTTTCAAGACATTTAAAACTTATATAATAAAGGTAATATCTCATTACATTCCAGAGTATGTCACAAGCGTACGGGGTGCTATGCCACACCTGGGCTAGAGAACCCAGATGCACAGGCTGTCTAACTAATATCCACTGAAATACAATGCATAATATGACACGCAGGCCGAAAGGGAAGCTAATCTACTTCTACATTCCAGTTCTAGCGCGCTCCAGTGCTCTAGTCCTCTGTGCCTGAAAGCCAAATATATCTGTTCAGCGAGAGATGCTGGTAACCCACTCCAACGCGTTGAAATACAATACATATAGCAATATATATAGATATACGAAAACCATTTTGAGCATGAAGATATATTCTACGAACTCTAGCTTTAAAACCGGGAATGACTCGATAGATAATGTCAGGCACAAGCAACAGTTATAACAGTCATAAGCAGTTCATAATAGATAAGGCAATTAAGGCAAAGCATAAGCAGTAATCATAACCCATCATAAACAATCCCCAATATGAAACCCATGGTCACATCCCAAGGCACTCATAGTCATAACTCGTCCATATCGCAACACATAATGCACATTGTTGGCGCCACAGGACCAATCGCATGCCCATACATGAGGGTCAGCGCATATAGCTCTGACACGACCCCGCAGCACCATGCCCCGTATCGCAACACGGGGAGGTCGATCGCAACCGACCGATGAACCGCAGCTCATCATAATGTTTGATCGCAACCAAACAGTGGACCGCAGCCCAAGAGAGTGTCATCTGACCGCAGCCAGGATAAAGGACGAACCGCAGCTCGTATAGAAACGTTTGATCGCAACCAAACGGTGGACCGCAGCCCAAGAGAATGTCATCTGACCGCAGCCCAAGAGAATGTCATCTGACCACAGCCAGGAATACCAATCTGACCGCAGCCAGCTTCTGAACCGTAGCTCAGGATAACCAATCCGATCGCAACCGAATTGGGGTAGCACACACACATAACACATAGCAAGAACATGCAACCCACGTTACACATTGGGAAGGGGGATAAAGCGTATAACAAACCTATGCGTGATCCATCACATACTAAGAATAGTCCTAAGGGGTCCATACTTCCTTCACCTAGGTCAACGGGATACCAATTCAACTAGCATGCGATATAACAGACTCACAAACCTACGAACGGTACCCGAAACATCAAACTAGACATAGGCACGACAAACGGGGTCCGTTGGGACACCACGGGGATCGGGGAAACATCAAACGGGGAAGCCGGGGTCCCGGGTGGGGTGAGATTCCAGCGGGTAGCCGGTGGGTGGGGGCCACCCGCCGGCTGCCCGCCGGAGTTACTGTTCCGGGCAGCGGGTCGCCGGCGGGCAGCTGTCCGCCCGCCGGCTGCCCGCTGCCGGGAACACTGTTACGGCAGTGGGTAGGTGGCGGGTCCCCTACCCCCCACTGACTCCTTTTATCATGTTTACGTCTCGGGAACCATCGTGGAACCCGAAACCATGCTTAGACACTTTGCAACGTAATTAACGACAACACGTAGGCGATTAACGGATCAAATACGAGAAACGAACGACACATAACCTATCATGCTTTTCTCAACATAATCAACACCCAAACATGCGATTTCTCCACCCGATAATTCAAGAATAATATCATTCGATACAACCTAGGGTTCTAATCACTTTTATATCAACAAGAATACGATTCGTCTTCTAATTGCAAGATTCTGTAAGAATAATACATAAACATCAAGAATACCAACTAATCATCAAGAGCACCATAATTATCAAGAACAACACATAATCATCAAGAATCCCAATTAATTATCAAGAACCTCATATTTATCAAGAACTCCCAATATCAAGATTATCAAGATTCCTCATGGAATCATTATATCAACATCAGCAATAATCATCATAAATCGTCATTTACAACAATATGGGGGAAACCCTAAGGGGAAACCATAACTATGAAAATAAGTTTTGTTGAGACATGAGTTACCTCTTAGCCTTAATTAATTCCTTGGCTATGAAGGATCTTTCTTTAAGCTTTCTTGATTTCTTGATTTCTCCTAGGGGAATTCTTGGAGCTCTTTGGGTGGTGAGAGATTATTGTGGTGGGGATTCTAAATGCCTTCCAAGTTCTCTATTTATATGCTATGGGGTTTAATCCTCCTAGGATTAGGTATTGGGCTTTAGGGATGGGGTCCACGGACTATGGTGGGCCTTTTTCCCAACTTAATCATAATAAATTATTCTTTCTCATGGGTTATAGATTAATTAATTAATTGGTCTTAGGGGCCGTAACACGGGGTGTTACAACAGCTCTGCCGACGGCGCAACGGCAGTGGTCGCCCCCCAACGGCAGCAAGGTGGGTGAAACAGCTCTCGAAGGGGAAACCATAGCCACCAGTTCGTCAGCATGATCAAAGGGGTGACAAAGAGAAGGACACGACAGCGGCAGTGTCCGCCCTATCCGCAGGCGTCTCCGGCTCGGGGTTCTCCATCTTGGCCAGCAGCTCCAGGATCTCCGGATCGAATGTATCGCCCTTCTGGCGTAGGGTGGTGTAGATGCCTTGCTGCATCTCATACCTTCCCAACTGGTAGGACACGACAATCTCATTCGCCATCATCTCCTTCCCAGCGTCACTAGCAAACCAGGAGGCGACTATCTCATTAATGTGCTCACAAACATACGCCTCGGCATATCCTGAACGAACAAGATAGATCTCTTATAGGCGGGGATGACGCGTGCAAGCTCTTCAGCATGTCTCTTCCTCTCCACCTCCAAAGTCTTCTGAAGCTTGTTAGCTCGTCTAGTCTCAGCCTCTAAGACCTTGCTCACCACGCGGGCACGCCTCTGCTCGTCTTCAACACGGGCCACGGAGGAGGCAGCCTAATCCTGCGGGAAATGCCAAGACACCGTCAAAACGGGGTGAATGGGGAAGTTAAAGAGAAACAAAGATCAAAAGGAAAAGAATATACCTCGAGGGAAGCCTGAAAAGTTCAAAGCGCATCACCAACATCGACGGGCAGGTAACGCGTGGACGAAACAGGCGGAGGCGAGGGAGGCACGGACGGCGGCGGAAGAGGTCGGTAGGACTGTGATCTAGTCTCCGCAGGCGACGGACGGCTGGGCTCAGCCAGGGGAACCTGGGGATGCGAGACGACCCTCTGTCTCTTCACCGCATGAGCGCGCTCCACAGCACGTTCAAGGCGCTCACGGAACGAGGCCATACCAGGAGATCTCACTGCAATAAAAACAAACTTGGGTTAACATGTGGGTGATATAAATAGTTGGTGGTCCAGCAGAGAAGAAAGAAGAGACCTCTAGAGGAGGCGCGAGAAGGACAAACAATGGACCGGGAAGAGGGCTAGGCAAAGACCTCGGTCGATGACCCCGAGGAATCGCTCAAATCAATCAAGGGGTGTGCGTCGGACCTGGATACACGTAAGAAGCGGGGGCGAATATGCGGCGGCAGCTGAGCGCCCGATGTGAATCCCAAACTTTGCATGTTCTCCTCGGTAATCATATCTCCGATGACGATCTCACCCAGCTCACCCCGAAAGGCGTGGATGTCCCGAGCCAAGGGGGCTGTCTGGACGGGGATCCTGCGCCGCACGAAGCGATTGTTCCAAGAGAGGAACGGGCGAGGAGAGCCAACAGAGATAAAGACGAAGTGGGGCTTCCAGTCCCTGTTGGTCTGATTGATGTCATGGAACACATTCATGTGTGCCTGAGCCGCAATAGCCACGAAACCCTTGCTCGCGAAGCCCGAGGACGAAGTAACTTGAAAAAGACTTTGGAAGAGGTCTATATAGGGTCTCACATTAATGGTGTGGCATCGGAGAAGAAAAGCAAGGGGCATGTAATGGGCATTGGGGACTAATTGCCCCGGACCTACACCGTAATGGTTTAGAAAAGGCACAACCAAGGGGTGAATGGGGAAGCGAAAACCAAGGTATAGGGATTGCACGTGGACCCCAAAGAAATGAGGCTCAGGGGCGCTGTAACGTTCCCTGCCGGGGAAGGTAGGCGAACCTCGACAACCGAGCCCGCATAGCCCTTGGCATCCTCGAACTCTTGTGAGGAGGTCAATGCCAAAGTTGAATAGGGAACCGGTGTTTCTAAAGGGGTGTACATGGCAGGGTCCTCAAACAGGGCAGAGTTGGGGTCGTCCATAAGAAGGGGATGGGCATCTAAAAAAACCTCCGCAGAAGGGGGGTGCATAGCAAAGGGAGAAGGGGTGTCGTTAGTATCGTGCAAGGGGAGAACTCCGGTGTCTACGGAGTCCAAAAAATCGTCCAAAGAACCAGAGGAAAAGTACACGCACAATATAAACCAACAAAATAAAAAAGGAGTAAAGGGGGGTGTGTTCGGCCTATGGAACGAAAAAGCAAAAAGAAGGGGTGGGGGGTGAATGGGGTGTGTTCGGCCTAGGCAGAAAAAAAATAAAATAAAAATTTTCGGGCATCATGCAAAAAGGGGAAAAGATGGACGAAAGAATTACTATGCTCGAGCTAGGGGCTCGGAAATGGGTCGACTCGAGGTCATCGTAGCAGCTCAACAGTGCGCGGGTGGCAACTTGCGTGAGCTCCCCGACTTGCGTGGGCTCGGAAAGGGGTCGACTCGAGGTCGTCGTAGCAGCTCAACAATGCGCAGGTGGCAACTTGCGTGGGCTCCCCGACTTGCATGGGTGTAGGGGTGGGTGAGGAAAAGAGAAGAAGAATGGTATGTGGTGGTGAAAATGAAGGGAGAATGAGTGTTTATATAGATGGTGGAAGGATAGGATGGGGAGAGAGAAGGGGGGAATTCAAAATTCAAAAGGGAAAAAAAGGGGAAAAAAGAGAGAAGGGGTGATGGGGGGTGGGGGATCGTGGAAAGTTGATAGATGTGATGGATTTAAGTTTAGAAGTATTTATGGAGAAGATAAATGAGACTATTGGGATTTTAATATTCTGCATTTGAGCCCTATCAAATGAAGGAGTCGTGTTCACGATAGAATTCCAACCTTATCGCGATGGGAGTGTTTTCGTACGCGCACCAACGAGCCTCGAACGCGGACGCTAAGGGGTCGGCATTTTCACAGGTTGACCGGATCATCTACTCCCCTTCGTTGACGATCACTCGCAACTCTTCTGGGTTGGGGACTGATGATGCTGTGACGAGAGGCCTCAGCACGAGGCCTCGGCAGGGGACCTCGGCCGCGTTGCTCGATCTCCAAACCAAGCGCGGTCAAAGCGGGAGATAAACATTCCCCGAATTTAGATGGGCAATTGGGAGGTCCATGACTTGTATAAAAAGCCCCTCCTTTGTCCAATTAAGACATCTTCACTACTATTGTCCTAATCAAACGCTGTAATAGCCTATTAGCAACCTTTAATACAACACACAATCCCCACGACCTTACGATATCGTTTTGTCCATTTTATCTATCGTCATCATATATACGTTCGTTATCGGGTTTACTAGTTCGGGCTATCCCGAGTTAATTAAATCCATCCATTATTATTATAATAATAATAATAATAACACTAGCACTGCCACAACATCAACATCAACAATTCATTAACTTAATCACATGCATCATCTCGCCATTAACAGAACATTATCTCATCTAATTACCATCAACAAAATCATCTCATCATTATCCACTAACCATCTCCTCAATTTTAAAGTACTATAAAGTGAAATTTCTTGATAAAGCCATTAAGAACACAGACGAAGGCAAAACTCACCTAAGCTCAAATAATGAATATGAATCTGCGAGCAGTCCAAGAAGTCTGTGATGATGGAACGGAAAGTTGTGGACAATAGCGATTTGGGGATAGATGATGGATGGATCTATATATTGTTTGATCTAGAGGGAGAGTTACGAAAGAGGATGAATTTGGGTGGGATTGAGAAAAGAGGGAGTGATTAGAGCTTTTCTACAGAGCGCAGAGGCGGTGTTGATAGAGAAGGGAGAATGAGCGAGAGTATGAGATGGACGGAGATAGGGCTGTAAAAAGAGTTAATTCTAGCAAAGGTCCTCCGACTATTGTGATTTTCCACTTTTAATTCTCGTCTTTTAATTTGGACGAATTAAACTCTTAACTATTAGAATCGTTACATCATTAGTCCTTCTGTGAAATCAAAGTTAGTTAGACGTTCAAATCAGGGATAAAAGAGTCATCTCACGTTCTTGAATCTTTTCTTTTACAGTGGCGGTGGTTTTGCGCGATCATAACCAGGCATCAACCTTCAGTTTCCTTTTTCCGGTCTCCCACGTCGGTAATGTCGTAATGAGCTGGAAATCAAGGTTGAAGAAGCTTGAAGTTGCACACAAGCTTCCCTCTCGGCCCTTCAACCTCAATTTCTTTTGCCTTCACCTTGATCTTCACCCGTCCAGGATGCTCATCGTCTCTGAGGAAAGTATCGTCTTCATGCTTTCTCTTTGTCTTCTCTCCTCTCCCACACTCTCTCTCTCTCTCTCTCTCAGACTCAGAGTCAGCACATATCGTCTTCATGTTCTTGAATCTTGAACACAAGTTGTTTGATTGAATGACGCAATTGAAAGTGTCTAAGAAATGTGGTTTAATTGTTATGCGAACGTATCAACTGGGAGAGTTTGGATATGATATGCATGAACCAGATAGATCAAGCATTGAACAATGGAGAACTCACGGCCATCAGAGAAAAATCATGGAATCAACTATATATCGTCGTCATCTGACCAGAGAATTTAGTTCCAGATACAGGTCACATGCATTTTCCGACTGCATCTTCGGCTAATAGGCATAGCCCTTCCCAGAACGTCAGGCAACCAGAAACTACTTCATTAGAGAAGAATGCTTTGTCATCAGTACAGTTGATAGAACTCAACCATACCAGCTACACACCAGAAGATGTATGGCTGCAAACACACCAGCTACACATGAGATTCAAATGCCATTTATGTGTTGTAGTTCGTCGATCTCTGAATACAAGAACAGTGAAACATAACAAAAAGCAAAGATAAAATCACTTCTCCTATTTAACAATGCCATGAACACTTGTACTCTACTCCTACTGCCACCTACACCTGCGTAGAAAGATTTTGGCAAATAGCATTTTCCTAATTTGGTCAGCAACGACTTCTTCCTCCATCATATCATCAGTTGGTTCATGGATGGGGGGAGGGGGGAGGGGGGTCATTGGGGTGCTCTAAGGCTTCCAGTACTGCTGCGAGCGTACGGGAAGAAAGCAATGGCGGTTCCTCTTCATGGACGGTGTAGCGGACAATCTCAGCTCCCCCTTTCGAACCTCTCACAATTGTGTGTTCCTGCTCTGCCGCTGCTTATCTGCTCTGAGTTCTCGGCCTAATTGTATTGGGTTTCTCCGATGAATTCTCTCCTTTAATGCGGCTTGTCTCTCATTTTTGCATGCCTTTGTCGGTGGCTCTCTTCCAGAATGGGGGCATTATCTCTAGCTTTAGAAGAAGAAATATGTGCACTGGCGTTTGAACCCATTGTTTTTTTCCGGCGTTTGGACTCAGATTTTAGGACCTAATTGGGCATTTACTCACACTTCTGGTGATAGTGGTCTTCAATCTTGCAGTCGGAATCCTGCCACACGTTGACAATTTTGCCCACATCGTTGGATTCTTGACAGGTTTCCTTATTGGCTTTGTCTTGCTGCCCCGGTCTCAGCCAGAATCTTCCAGCCGAGATTTGTGTTTACTTCCCTCTGAGAATTTATGATCAGTGCGATCCTCTGTCTGGGTGATTTTACTGTGTTTTTCAAGCACAACAGCAAAAAAAAAAATGACCTAATTGGTCAAAGAGAACATGAACCACACCATGGCTACAAAATCAGACTTTGCCCAGCCAAAGGACACCTAGCATATAAAATGACTCTTTTATCCCTGATTTAAGCGTCTAACTAACGTTGATTTAACAGAAGGACTAATGATGGAACGATTCTAATAGTCAAGGGTTTAATTCGTCCAAATTAAAAGACGAGGACTAAATGTGGAAAATCACAATAGTCGGAGGACCTTTACTGGAATTAACTCGCTGTAAAAATGGGGGAGAGATTAATAGTAGCCTTTATATATCTAGGGTTTTGGGTCTCAAAAATTTATATTATATAATTTGGGCTAAGGTTTGGGTTAAGAAATTGAACTAGCATTATTTTGGATAGGGATGGCAACAGGGCGAGGGCGGGAAATGGGGTCCCCATCCCTGTCCCCGAAATATTCCCCATTCCTTGGCCCGCCTCGTTTCTCAGCAAGGATGGAGAATTATTCCTCATTCTCGACTTGCGGAAATTTTTTGAGGATGGAGAATTTCCGTCTCGTTTTTTATTTATGCATATTGAAAAAAAATATTTAAAAAAAAAAGATTAATATTATCAAAAATTATATTGTTAAGCCTTTGAATCTTTATTCCTTAATCAAAACTTCATATTGTTGAGACTAATACAAACATTATGCATTACAAACATTATGACTATGAACATGGCAAACAGTATGGCTATGAACCATTACAAACATGGCAAACAGTATGCTTACAAACATTATACTAAAGTCTAAACAGAATTACAAACTTAACCAATAGTATGCATTACAAAGAACCATTAAACAATAAACACTATACAATAAGTCCTATTTTAATATGTAAATTTACCTTCAGAGACTCGAAGTTCATTTAATAATTGAAATCCAGCCATGGCAGCATTACAGCATAACTGAACCATTACAGTAAATTTGGCAGCATAATTGAAATTCTTAATATTATTAATTATATATAATATTATTATTAGCCTGGGATTCGGGGATCGGGGATCGGGGTCGGGGTTGGGGCGGGGAATGCCCTCCCCGTCCCCGGCGGGGGTTGGGAAATTCCCCCATCCCCGCCCCTGTTCCCTGATATAAATTCCCGAACTCGTACCCGTCGAGACGGGGGTCGGTTTTCCCTGCTAGGGGCGGGTTCAATTGTCATCCCTAATTTTGGGTTTAAACAAAATTATTTGGACTCAAGACATTTTAGATTTGTAAAATGATATTGACGGGCTAACTCAGATAGATTTTGGATAACAAAATCAGAGGCTATAAAATAATTTATTTGAACATTGAAGCAAAATAATTTAATTTAAAAATATTTGGGTTTAAATATTTAAAATTGAAAAATAGATTTTGTTATTGAGAATAGTTTATTAAAATAAGTTATTTTAAAATATCGGGGGTGTCACAGGGAGTCTGGTCCATGTAAAGACACCCCTTAACACAACAATCGTTATACCGTGTACCAGGGCGCACATAGTACTGTGCGCCTCGCGCCTCCCAAAACGACGTTGTTTTGTTAAGTTAAAAAAAAAAAATCATTGTTTCAAATGCACATAAACTCATAACAGAATACATATAAACTCATAACAGAGTACACATAATCTAACATAATACATAATACACATAAACTCATAACACAATACACATAAACTTTTAACTGAATACACATAATGGGTTTGGTTAGCATAATACACATAAACTCTTAACTGAATACACATAAATTCATAACACAATACACATAAATTTTTAACTGAATACACATAATGAGGTTTGGTCTGTTCGGATGGACGGAGTGACATCAGAATGAAACGCACGCATTTTGTGCCTGGACGCATATTGCTATGTGCGCTGTGGTGCACGATATAAATTGCCTTAAGACAAGATCTCCTCTCTGGTTAGGTGGCTTGATTTTCTCTTTCCTGCTGGTGTGCCTAGGGGTGTTCATTCGGTTAACCGTTCGGTTAATCGAACCGTTTTAACCGAATCGAATTAACCGATTTTTTTTTTGTCTTAACCGTTAACCGAACCGAAATTTGATCTACCGAATTAACCGAACCGAACTTTTTTTCGGTTAATCGGTCGGTTAACCGATTAACCGAAATTTTTAACCCTAAAATTGAAAATCCTAAAAATAACTCCTAAAATAATAAATTCAATTAAAATAAAATAGATATCATAATAAATTCATATCAAAACATACAAAAATAATACCATAAGTCCATAATCCATTCGACTATTTGGGATTTTAGTACATATTATATATTTATATTTAATATTTAATATATATATATATATATATATATATATTCCAAAATTCGGTTAATCGACACTTTCGAACCGAATTAACCGTTAACCGAATTTTGGGAAAACCTTTAACCATTCTCCGAACCGAAATATTTCGGTTAAAAAACGGTTAACCGAATTACGTCGGTTCGGTCGGTTAACCGAAATTTCTCCGAAATTTGCACACCCCTAGGTGTGCCTGGGTTCGAGCTCTGTGTGGTAACACATTTAAAGTTATTTTATTCTATTTATTTATTAGTTCTTTAATTCTTTATTATTTTGGCTGCCATTTTGGACTAATATTTTAAACGATGTACATATTCTTGGAGCGTTATGTTGTGCAACAGTGTGCACCACTGTTGCACAATGCATGGTGGACACTGTTGCAAAAACGACGTTCGACTTAAAAAAAAAATCAGAATTGCATAACTACACATCCATAACTTCATAACTATAAGTCCAGAATTGCATAACTACACATCCATAACTTCATAACTATACATTCAGAATTGCATAACTACACATTCATAACTTTATAACTATAAATCTAGAATTGCATAACTACACATCCATAACTTCATAACTATACATTCAGAATTGCATAACTACACATCCACAAATTCATAACTATAAATCCAGAGTTGCATAACGACACATCCATAACTTCATAACTATAAATTCAGAATTGCATAACAACACATCCATAACTTCACAACTATAAATCCAGAATTGCATAACTACACATCCATAATTTCATAACTATAAATTCAGAATGTGAAATTATAAAATTATGAACATATGTTTACATAACTAACGACAATCGAAAATGATTTTTTTATTTAAGTAAAATGACGTCGTTTTTGTATCCGTGTGCACCATGCAGCATAATTTGTCCCTATTCTTCTGGGTCTCACACCTTGAGTAATAAAATTACTATTTTTATACCCTTTTTATATTTTTGTACCCAATTTATAATAGACCCAATCATCAAATATAATATACACTTTTTACTTATCATAGAAAATTTAAATCAAAAGAAATACGGAGTATTTAAATTTCCTTCCAAATATATCGTCCGCATTGGCAAAGGGAAATGCAGTGCAGTGAGGACTGATGAGGATGAAACAGACGATGGAGTGGGCGCTGATTAGGAGAGGAATTCTCAGCAATACACTGCACAAACCTCCTCCTCAGGTACCTCTTCATCCAAACGCTTCTCTTGAATTTCACCCGCTTCAAATTTCAACCCATTTATACGATTCCTCATCTGGGTCATCTTCAAGTTGCTATTTTAAGCCCGACCCAGACCACAAACAGCACTCTTTGAGCAATTCTACAATTGGGTCGTGTTTTACATTTGCATCGTCTTTGAATTGCTCTTCAGTATACCCTTTTTTAACCAAGAAAGATAGGAATTATTCTACTGTTGGAGCTCTAACTTGTAATGGTAACCTTGGGAAAGGGGAAATAGACTGCCGCAAAGAACTAGATTCGGAAATTAAAGGTTCGTATCATCCAAACTTTCTTACAAAAATCATTGATATAATTGTAAGAAATGAGGATGATATGGAGTGCAAGTTGAATTTGATTGCTTCAGGTCTTCTAGTGAAATCCCAAGTTGCTCTTAAATGGGCTACTGAGATTTTTCGTGTTTTGAATGTAAAAGGGGTATCTGGACTGCGGTTTTTTAGATGGTTGAGAAGTATGTCTCCTGAGATTAAGAGAAGTAGTATCTTTTGTAGTATGATTATTGATAATTGTGGGTGGTTAGATGATTATGAAACCATGGCTGCTTTGTTGATTGAGTTTCGGACCGAAAATGTTTGCCTCGCTAGAAGGGCGTTTCAGTTCATACCTGTATTTGGTTCGAATGACGCCCTGTTAACTGAATCTGTACAGAGAGTGATTGGTGTACTAAGTGAGGCCGGGGGATCATGTTATGCTTCGGGTATCCATGAATTGGTTGAGATGTTTTGTTCGTTCGACAAGTTTGAAATGGCGAAGTTCGTTATAGAAATATCGGAGGGAAAGGCGTCGTGCTATGACGTTTTGGTTAATGAAATGTGTAGGAGAGGTCGTCTTCGAGAAGCACTTGGCATTATCCGTGGGATGGTAGAATTGGGGGTTAGATGTGATGCCAAATCGTACAACTACCTGCTTAGCAGCTTGTGTAAGATCGATAAGATGGATGAAGCGTTTAGGGTGCTCGAAGAAATGAAAGGAAATGGAGTTCTTCCGAACCTCCAAACCTATGAACTCTTCATCCACTCGTTTTGTAGCCACGAGAAGTTGAGGCGTGTATACCAATTGTTCGATCAGATGGTGGCCGAGGGTCTTAAGCCACAGACCAAAACTCACGCCGCGTTTGTGAAGGCTTGTTTCAGCTCAGAAAGATACGACGAGGCCTACAAGTATGTCGTGGATTCAAGTGAAAAGTATTACAACTCGAGCAACACAGTTTACAGCTTGATTGCAAGCCTTCATATGAAAAAAGGGGACTTTGGCACTGCTCTAAAGATCATAATCGAAATGATGGAGAAAGACCTTAAACCGAACTATGCAGTTTATAAGAGGATACTGAGGTGGTTATTGGATCACGGCAGGACAGATATAGCTAGTGATCTAAAGAGCAGATATGCTGTGTTCAAACTGGAATGCCCCCTAAATGTGAACAGAAATGACTATGGATAATAAATACTCTTCTGTTTTCTTTTTCACTTTTTTCAGGTCATGTCCAAGCTTTGTATGTAGAATTTAGCAATTAACTGCTCAAAATATTAGGCACAGAGATCCCGAATGAGTGAGACTTTTCAACGAGAACCTGCAGCTGTTATAGCAAGTAGCAGTAAGCTTCTTAGGCAAATTTTACTGTGGTCCACATAGCTGTATAAAAGTCTTTTTCTTCCTTTTTCTCTTTCCTTTCTCATTGAATTGCAATTCATATGGATGAGGGTATGAATTGCAATTTAACAAAATGAGGGAATTACAATTCGGCACTGTTATTTGGGTGGCGTGGCCAAAGAATTATACTGTAACTGAATTGCAACTACATCCAACCAAATAGTCCAGTAATCAGGCCCGGTCCTATCATCGCCATGGAACCGTGTTCACCATTCATGGTGAACACGGTTCCAACGGTGTTAGTACACCGTTATCTTTTTTTTTTTTTTTTTTTCTTAATTAATTGCGTGACTTTTCTTCTTTATTTTCACATTTTGCGGTTTCACTTTAATTTGAGGTGAACAAAGATTTCGGACATTCATAAATTATGAATTCATGCCTGCACATTCACTTTGGAACCATACCTACACATTCCCGTCCGAAATCACGGACATTCATAAATTATGAATCCATGCCTGCACATTCACTTTGGAACCATGCCTGCACATTCACTTTGGAACCATGCCTACACATTCACTTTGGAACCATGAGATTATGAATTTTCTGTTATAAGATTATGAATTTTCTGTTATGAGATTATGAATTTTCAGTTGTGAGATTATGAATTTTCAGTTGTGAGATTATGAATTTTCTGTTATGCGATTATGAATTTTTTGTTATGAGATTATGAATTTTCATTACATTCATAATTTCGGACATTCATAAATTATGAATTCATGCCTGCACATTCACTTTGGAACCATGCCTACATATTCCCGTCCAAAATCACGGACATTCATAAATTATGAATCCATGCCTGCACATTCACTTTGGAACCATGCATACACATTCACTTTGGAACCATGCATACACATTCACTTTGGAACCATGAGATTATGAATTTTCTGTTATAAGATTATGAATTTTCTGTTATGAGATTATGAATTTTCAGTTGTGAGATTATAAATTTTCTGTTATGCGATTATGAATTTTCTGTTATGAGATTATGAATTTTCATAAAATTCATAATCTCATAACAGAAAATTCATAATTTGATCAAACGCGCGCCGTTAACTCCACATCTGCGAATTTTATTTTATTTTTGCCTAAAAACGACGTCGTTTTGCCTTGTGTTCACCATTCTCGGTGAACACGATTCCATGACATAATTTGCGTATCATTCTTTAGGCCCGGGGCATAAGAACAAAAATGGGCCCTATATGAAATTAATATATATTTTTTATAACTAAAATTTAAATTAAACAAGAAAGCAATACTAATGTCAAATAACTTAAATAAGATTCACAAGTTTTTAACAATTTTACATACACATACATGAAAATAATTATAGATGCATTCCTAAACCTAAAATAATCAATCACCGCATCAGTGTTTTCATAAATAAAGAATTATAGTTTATAGAAATGAATAAATAATTTAAAACCAAATGTACTTATAGACAATCACATTATTATTATAATAAATAATAAAATAATTATTAATAAAATTTATAATAAAAAAAACTTACAAATAAGAGCATAGCAAAAAATCATAATTATTGAGAACAATAAATCAAAACATTCAAATGTGACAAAATATATTTATAATAAAATATGAAATATAATTAATTGGATAAAATAGTTCGAATAAAAAACATGTAATAAATCACACATCGTATATATTGGCAGTAATAGCAATGCAAATCTTGTTATTTTGCTTTCCTGACCTCTTCTTAGTATCTTTTCTTAACAACTTACGATAAAAGAAGATCAAATCTGAGATGTATGACCTAAATATTTAATTCACAATTTCAAATAAAAAAATAGTACATCTCAATCCAAGGCAGGCAGGGTGCCCTGGCGCCCTGGCTCGCTGGCTGGTGGACGGAGGCATGGAGGCAAGCAGGGAGGCTGGGAGACGTGTGACATGTGGTTGGCGGAGGCTGATTGTCATGGATGGAGTACATATGGATGGTACAGGTGAGGCCGAAGACAGTATAAAAGGGGGAGAGATGGCCTGGTCTGCTTAGGACACACGCAGGAGAACGAAGAGATACTAATAAGAGCTCAAGAGGGATCATTAACTCATCGGGGAAATTTTTGGGCGTGAGATTCGAAATAGGGAAATTCCCGAACTGGGATACCAATCAGGGAAAGTGTCTTTCCCTTAGGCGAGTTTGATGTTTTGTAATTTCGCCTAAGTATTTGGCAACATACACATTCACGTATTTACAAAGTTATATACCGTATTAATTTAGTAATTGTGTATAATAATGCCGTATTAACTGTATTAATTTAGTAATTTTTTATAATAATACCGTAATAATTTTGTTCTCCTGTATAATAATGTTGTATTGTTAATTAAATATTTAAATATAAAATTGTCGTGATATTTAGTAAAAAATTAATGAGTAGACAATAACACAAGTAAAAATAATAATTAAAAGTGAAACATAGGTACAGTATAATAAAATCATCGAAACGTGTAACAGGATTATTACTATACGTCTAAAGTGTAAAGTTCACCATAGACATGGTCATTAATGAAATATTTAACCGACCATGGATAAATATTTTCAACATGACATGTACCAATGACCAACAGGAAAACACTGTTGTCCTCCAAACTGAACAAAACGACATCGTCCTCGGTTGTATTAATATTAAAATGTGTTGTTATTTCTTCCCACTGTTCTGTGAAAAAAGTTAACGATGTGTCAAAATATAGTTCTAGCTTTCGTGATCCACAAACAATTTGAAGCGGAGTGTCTACGAACTCGTCGGTATCTCTGAGGAATGTAGCCAATCGAGTTATCTATAATGACGAAAAAAGAAATTAGTAAATAGTAGTTTATTTTAGTTTAACAACATTAATCACAATAGCTAAATTATTTGAGGAGTTTGCATCAATTATTTATTCGTCATTATTGTAATAAACATCAAATCAACAAAATAATCGAACACCTTAATTTTTATTTGACATTTTTTTATATAACAAAATTGTAATACGATCGTTCAAACGTACATACATCAATTTACAACTATAAATACAATGTTTTATAACTAAATACGTTGGTTATATGTAAATACGCTGCACAAATACGGTGGACCATACGGTGGAGCACTGGAGTGGATGCTATGTCGACTTTCGCTTAGGCGAGATATGAAAACCGCTATCTCGCCTAAGAGAAAGACAAATTCCCTCTTTCGTATCACACGCAAGAAGTTTCCTTTTCACGTAACCCAGGTTCAATTTCTTCCTTGCCGGCAAAATGACCCGCTCAAGAGAGTTAGGTCTATAATTTTAATTAAATGAATGACTCAGATTGATCAGATTTTAATAATGTTATCTTTTCTGTTAATTTTTGTAAGTTCACCGTTAATTTACTCATTGATTTCAATAAGAAAGGTCTTAAGTTCGAACCTCATCCCAATCAAAGTTGGCATAATTAATACTCTATTTTTTTAATGTTACCGACTTTATTACATTATAGTAATTAATACTCTATTTTATTCTTATTAAATTACTAGTTTTTTACGCGCATTGCGCGATTGAGATAATGCCCAATATTTTTTTTTTTTAAATAAGTACTTTAAAGTATATCAAGGCAAGATTAAATTAGAATTGTCTATGTATAGATAATTGAATGTTGAATTTGCGTATTTAAATAGGTAATTCTAAGTTTACAAACAGGGCCGGTTCTATCATTTTATAGGCCCGGGGCGTAGCCACAAAAATAGGCCCTACATGAAATTAATATACATTTTTATAACTAAAATTTAAATTAAATATGGGAAAATACTAATGTCAAATTACTTGAAATAAGATTCAAAAGTTTTTTTAACAATTTTACATACACATGAAAACAATTCTAGATGCTTTCCTAAATCCAAAATAATCAATAACCACATCGGTACCTTCATAAATAAACAATTATATAATTTATAAAAACGAATAAACAATTTGAAACCAAATAAGCTTATACGCAAACACATTATTATTATAATAAATAATAAAATAATTATTATTAAAAATTTATAAAACTAAACTTATAAACAAGAGTAGAGCATAAAATCTTAATTATTCAGAACAATAAATCAGAACACTTTAAATGTGATAAAAGATATTCATAATAAAATATGAAACATAATTAATTAGATAAAATAGTTTGAATATAAAACACATTATAAATCACGTATCTAAATACTTTTTTCTTTTAGTTAGATCAATTTGAAGTTTTTCTAGATTAATTTGAATACGATGGCACACAATAGAACTTCTAAACTACATTGACTAAATAATTCATAAAAAAAAAAAAGTAAACTATCTTTTAACATATTTTTCATAACTAAATCACGAATTATATTACATATACATTATACTCGTTATAAAATTCACAAAATAACACATATTCTAAATATAAATAGTAAATTACTCGAATTGAAATAGATTCAAAATATGATATGAATCACAAACCAATCTATATTATAAATTTCACTATAATTATAAAAAAAAAAAAGTAAAAAAAATCACAAAGTTACAAATTTAATAAAAAATACAAATTAAAAATAGAAATAAATTCCATAAAGTACAACTTTATTACTACATAACTAGTATTTTCACCCGTGCGATTCACGGAATAGAATTGTTGTAATATATTCAGAATATTTAAATCGATAAAGAGTTAATTTCACCAGAGGTCGCTTATCTTTCCTGACAATTCCAAATTTAATCCTAGACTATAATTATTAATTATTACGATTTATTCTATGTTATAATTTTTACGTTAATATTCTTACTATTATTATTAACACTTAATTACGTTTAAATACTATTTTTACCACTTATATTATTATTATTATTATTATTATTATTATTATTATTATTATTATTATATTATTATTATTATTATTATTATTATTATTATTATTATTATTATTATTATTATTATTATTATTATTATTA